GCATATTTGTCTTTCTTTCTGGTATTGTCTAACAGGATATTGTGATTTACAGCGAAAAGTTTCTAATAAGTAAATAGATAATTGAATCACCAATGTACCAATTATCAACATCTCCAAAGTGTAAATAACAATATTGATCTAAATGGTAACAAATGATGGTAGAAGCGAAGTTTTAGTAAAAAGGAAATTGTGTAGTTCAGGTTCTCATGAATTCTATGAGACAAATAGTTTCTATGGTAACTCTAATATGTGATGCTCTACAAAATGGCTTTAAGGTTATCTGATGCAACATCTGTAGAATATGTACATTTGTGAAATTAATAAACGTAGAAAACACTTCTATAAATTATTACTGGAATAAAAACAGCAAAAGTAGTAATAATAATTGGAATAGTTTAATCATGTCGTTGATTGGAACATATGATGACCTATACTGGTCATATATATGGCTGAGCGTCATCTAGTTCTGTAGGAATGAAAGCAATCGAGAGAAAAAGTCGTATATGTTGGTGATAATTTTACAAAGAAAAACACCAACATATCCGAAAATAAGTTGATGAATTCAATAAAATATATCAAATATTAAATATATTAAGTTATCATACCTCAACACATCCGGATATGGGGGATGTTATTGGTTGCTAGGAAACCATTATTACACAATACATTATAAGAATATTGACTTCAAAAGCATGTATGATATTAAGGTCACGATTTGGTTTGATGAATTTATTAAATAATGTCTGGCACAGAGCCACTGCCTTCCAACATGCAATGGTATTAAAGTAGGTTTGTGATGACAGAGACTACTGCCCGCGTGATACACACTAATTACAGACTTGTATTATATTTTATAAGTCATAAATACATTTTAATACTACATATATACTTGGCCTGATTTAATCTGACAGGGAAGTATAGACTGTGATCATGATCAAAAATCAAAACAATATCATGCTAAAGTATGTATATTGTGACAAAGAAACCATTGTTATAGAAATTTCACTCAACGAGGGTGTACGCTTTATATTATCAAACAACAAACGGAGGCCATTTTACTATAAATAGTATTTCATGACAATATGTAGTAAAAAAAACAAGTAATTCACTTACTGTGCTAGTCGAATAAGAAGACTTTGTTTACTTTCGTATTGCAAAGCAATGTTCCCGATAACGTGAATTCCGACATTGACTCTTGTTAAAGTCTGCCATTCGATCGTTTAGGTCAGATAAAATAGAAAAGACTGTCAGTACTGGAGGAGAACAATTTGATCTGCTTCAGCAGGACTAACTGTAAGTGAGAGGTTGACATTATCAGTAATCATTAGACTGGAGGGAAGGGAATACCACACAAACTTAGTCCGTCTGTTCTGGTGTCGTAATGACGATGTCTCCAACTGAAGTACTGTGACTTTATAGTAGAGGATAAGTATTAGTGCTACTATGCTGTCTTAGGCCTAAAATGTACAATGTAAAATTTCATATTTCAAGACTTATTGCTTTCTTTTGTAATGAGTGGTGAGCCAATCATGTTGTTCTAATAGGAACCAAAAACATATATTAAAGAGGATAACTCCTGAGGAGATCATTTAATACCTAAACGAACAACAGTACTAAAGTGTAGAACGTGATTCAAATGGATAACACAATACTAGAGTGGATAACACGATACTAGAGTGGATAACACAATACTAGAGTGGATAACACAATACTAGAGTGGATAACACAATACTAGAGTGGATAACACAATACTAGAGTGGATAACACAATACTAGAGTGGATAACACAATACTAGAGTGGATAACACAATACTAGAGTGGATAACACAATACTAGAGTGGATAACACAATACTAGAGTGGATAACACGATACTAGAGTGGATAACACAATACTAGAGTGGATAACACAATACTAGAGTGGATAACACTACACTAGAGTGGATAACACAATACTAAAGTGGATAACACAATACTAGAGCGAGGAGCATGATACCAAGAGTGTACAACACAATGTTAGGATGGATAACACAATACTAGAGTGGATAACACTATACTAGCGTGGATAACACAATACTAAAGTGGATAACACGCTACTAGATGGATAACACGATACTAGAGTGGATAACACTATACTAGCGTGGATAACACAATACTAAAGTGGATAACACGCTACTAGATGGATAACACGATACTAGAGTGGATAACACTATACTAGAGTGGATAAACGCTACTAGAGTGGATAACACAATACTAGAGTGGATAACACGATACTAGAGTGGATAACACAATACTAAAGTGAATAACACTATACTAGAGTGGATAACACGGTGCTAGAGTGGATAACACAATACTAAAGTGGATAACACAATACTAAAGTGAATAACACTATACTAGAGTGGATAACACGGTGCTAGAGTGGATAACACAATACTAAAGTGGATAACACGATACTAGAGTGGATAACACAATACTAAAGTGGATAACACGATACTAGAGTGGATAACACAATACTAAAGTGGATAACACGATACTAGAGTGGATAACACAATACTAGAGCGAGGAGCATGATACCAAGAGTGTACAACACAATGTTAGGATGGATAACACAATACTAGAGTGGTGGATAACACTATACTAGCGTGGATAACACAATACTAAAGTGGATAACACGCTACTAGATGGATAACACGGTACTAGAGTGGATAACACTATACTAGAGTGGATAACACAATACTAGAGTGGATAACACAATACTAGAGTGGATAACTCGATATCAGATTGGATAACTCGATACTAGAGCGAGGAGCATGATACCAAGAGTGTACAACACAATGTTAGGATGAATAACACGATACTAGAGTGGATAACACAATACAAGAGTGGATAACGCGATATTAATGTCGAAAAACTCAATACTAAAGTGGAAAACGGGATACAAGAGTGGATAACACGATACTAGAGTGAAGAAAGCAATACCAGAGTGTACAACACAATATTAGTGTAGATAGCACGATAAAGGAATCAACACAACAAAGGAGTCGATAACACGACGCGTGTGTATATAACACAATTAAGGAGTGTATAACACTACACAAGTGTAGATATCACGATAAATGAGTAGACAATACGACGCCTGTGTTGATAGCACGATAAATGAGTAGACAATACGACGCGTGTGTTGATAGCACGATAAATGAGTAGACAATACGACGCGTGTGTAGATAGCACGATACCATATTAGATAAGTGCACATGAACTCGTAAGTTGTTAGCTGGATGAAAAACTGCCTGTCCATTTTAGCACCGTAAAAGCCATGAGTATGTCTCAAGCCAGATCAAAGCGAGTATCTGTCTAAATATTAAAAATAAGCAACTAAAACCACTAGACATAACAATGATGAAGATACAAAATAGACATGTTAATGCTTTTTCCTTGCAGTTTTTTGTAAACATCATGATGTACACGACAATTACCGGAGATTAGTGAACACCTAGTAGACTATCAAACACGGGCAAATTACACAGTAGCGCGCACCAGACTGACCGTATACAATGATGCGATAAGATTGATTTAAATGTCCAGATATCCGTAGAGATCCATTATATACCTCAGCTGTCCAACACCGAAACGGTGTAGCATGGACTATACAACCCACCTTGTGTATATATACTCTCGTTATAGAAAACAGGTACCTGGCTCTTTAATACTGAAGTTAAAAGGCAAAATGAAACCAGATTAACGACGATAAAACACTTGATTGTTGACAGAGTGGAAACGTGTTATGTTAGAAAAGGAAGTTTTGTTTATATGATAGCTGATAGAATTGGTACACAGACTGGTTCACAGAAACAGTTACATGAATCTTACGTTCCAACAGGCAGAGAAGTGAAACTCGAAGTAGAGAGAAACACAGTACAAACACAAGTACAGGCATTCTTTTCAGTGTAAAGGACCGGGAGTTCTATGTCAGTACTGGTGTAGAGAGATATCACTAATGGAATATATGTGACTTTTCAATGTGAACTGTGGATTGGATGGACAGATGGCAACATTTTGTAAGTGATCAAAGTATTTCCCCAGTATATGCAATAACACTTTGCAAAACTCCCATCCTTATTGATATATAATGTAACTTTATACACAGTAAATACTAGAAATTACAAATGACAACACGAAATTCATTTGTTTATTAGAAACCCTTATGTAGAGTTATAATATAAAATTTCCGTTATACGACTATATCAATTGTTTGTTCAGAGAAACCATCAGTTTTTCAGGACTACTACAGACTTAGGTATAGCTGTGTAAGGCCAAGTGCTTACTTTGTTAATCATTTATTTAGAAATTTAGCTTTAGTTCAAATATACGATAAAAAAGATTGACGTGGTATCAATAAAACACCAAATTCAAAGAGAAGCGGACTACTTTTGGATGATTCTCTTGGGAACAAAACCAGTTTAAACCAATCTGTGTAATAGTGAATGCTGTGTAGGCGATTTATTACTGTCACGCTGCAAAAAGGAGATAGCATTACCTCAGACGAAAGATTCTAGAAGACAAATACGATAATACATGTTTCTGTGTTCGTTTTCAAGACGTATGTAAATGTCATACAGTAATCAAAAGATAAGTTTATATATAATACTCTACACAGGTTCAAAACGGAAATGTACAGTGTTGTCTTTTGTGTCTTTTACAATGCATATAGGATCAAATGCATTTCAACTTATCCGTTCAATTGGAGACATTCACTAATATTTCTTCATCTCTTCAGTAAAATCGATAATTAATTGCTTAAATAAAGATGTTTCTTATTTTCGGAACAAAAATTTAGCTTCCAGCGCTTACCTAGATGATTACATTCTCAAGAGATGTCTTTCCCAGGATTGTATAACGATAGTAATCCCTTCTTATATAAACTAAATTGATACTCCAATCATACAGTGATAGTAAACAGGATTATGCATTCAATCTTTCCCGATAGATGTGTGTCGAGTTAGCATGGTGTCCGGTCAGACGATGAGGTGAGTTCCGAGAACAGAATAACATCAATCTGTATCATGACAGCTCTCTTATCGACAATGAATTGCGGCATTCAATGTCTACCGGTCTTCTAATTTGACATAATACTGAAGTAACTATTTCCTGAACAAAGGTATCGGAACATGATGTCAGATTCTTCCACCGGTAAGTCTGGCGTTGACTTATATTTAAAACTTTTTATGAAATATCATACAAGTAATACAAAAAGACGTATACAACAGGACGTTAAAATATCAGTAGTATATATATAATGATTTAAATATGCTAATACGATGTTGTAGCTTGGCTGTTAAAGCTGTGTAGAACATGCAGATTCACGTGTTGTGGAGTAACATACAGTGATGTCAACACTTAACTAGTTTTCACATCAGAAACTCTTGTGAATGGAACTTGATTGGAAAGTGCTTTGTTGATTTCCTAGATCACGGCGAGCAGACATCTGCAATCAGTTCCAACTGTGATTTCTGATCTTGTATCATTAACCTCATCGATTCCTTAGCTTCTCGGAGATAACTTCTCCGTGGATTCTGTTAAAGTGTTTTAACCGTCTATTTATTTCTGCACTTTTGTTTCACTTTGTGATTTGAAAGAAACACCTCATATCATTTACACACGATACCAATTGTAGGGCAATGACATTTGAAGTTGAAAAGTTGTCATCAAATTAACATAATGGATTTTGATTAAAGATAGGATTTCTGATTTTTATGTTAATGATGAATTTTCTGTGACTGTTTGGTATCTCATGAACTTCAATGATATAATTCAAATTCATTATTCCAGGTGTGGACAGCGGGAGATCGAAGTCATGCAGGTACGTGAGAGATTTATCTGTCCAGTGACTCGGAGCATGATTGACAGCCGGGGCTATCTCTGTACCCTCTCAAGTTCTTGTATTAAGACAACAGGAAGACACGAGTATACTACGTCACGGAGCAACTTATGGGTAGCTCGTCAGGCTCCTCCAGAACAGGGGCCAAGGTACCACTTGTTTTCAGATACACACGAGACCCATCCCTCCGGGGTATATATGTGTCTTCAATTACGTGTTGTATTTATCTGTTAATTCTCGACTGATAATTGTGAATGGATACATACTGTATGGGTATTTCAGACGAAGTCATCCTATACAACAAACCTCAACTGGAATCTCTCGTGATACTGAAAGAATCACATCGAATTACTAAAACAACAGTGGGAACGACTACTTAGCACTTTCAAAATGGCATGTTCAAATTATACACCAAGGATTGTTACTTGCCGACTATTTAGAAATCATTTGTGTTGGAGGTGCTAACGAGATAGCTGTGCATAATCCGTAATTTAGACACATTCTGTTTGGAAATTAGTTTTGGAATGTTAATATCTTATTCATTAAACCACCCACGTGTCGCTGACAAGATTTAGGACAATCTTGATCGGGTACTGATTTCAACATTACTGTAGAACTAAAATGAGTGTTCTCCATTGGTTAATTGTTGTTTTGTGCAATGTTGGATTATCGTCTTCTCTGAGGATTGGTTTGTTGATGCCCAAGGATGTTTATAATTATGGGATTCCAAGTTACCAGACATCTTCTGGGGCCTTTTTGGCAGCTGTCAGTGACATCCACATACCCAATGATACCGTACAATTCACGTTCATTGACACGTTTTGTCTCAACAGCCTCGCTCTGGCCGGAACAGCTAATATCAGCAAAAATGTCGACGTCATAATTGGTCCGTCTTGTGGAGAGGAAGGTATGATTAAGCATTAAAAGTTTTTTAAAAGTTATTTCCAGTTTGAAGTTCGAGCACTTTGCCCTGAAATGTGGGTCTTGGTCATTCATCTTAGATAACTTGATTTCTATGTTAATAATTCGCAATCGTAAAAGTAAAGTGTTAGAACAAAAATATTATATGACATTTATCATCAACAATTGTTTCTAAAAATAATGGATCAAAGAATAATGATTTTTAAAACTTGTATTTGCTTATCACAACAAGAAGAAAATACCAACATTTGAATAGGCGTTATAGATATTTGACGAATACTTGGGTTAAACTAATTTCTCTGTGTTAAGGTTAAATTGCCTTGTGGATCAGCAGGGATTTCCTGACTTATCTCAAATCAATATAAAGGCTTTAGAGTAAGATGTGATATCTACCGCCTGCCACTGTTGGTGTCGGTGAGACTATCATTTGTAGGTCTATTGATAAAATTGGGCTTTAAATAAAAACATTTTGATGACGTTTGAAAAAGTAGGTACCTACTATATGTAATGCCTTGTGATTATTGATAAAGCCCCGTAACTGTTTGATATAGTTTGTCATATCTTCCGAAATCAATTTCACACAGGTATACCTTGTTCACTATGTGCTATATTTACTCATTGGTCACAATTCGAATGTCTGGTGTTCTATATACGAATTTACTGTCCTATATGTTAAATGAACAAAATTGAGAACTTAGATGATAATGTAACACTAAGTTACGTAATGTCCAATTGTATTACATGTAACATAACTGAAAACTTCAAGATCCGTGTCAAAGAAAACTTTATTTTAACAATCTAAATTTTTCGTTACTTTGTTTCGCGTAGGAAGATATCTGTGATAGTTCATGTTGGATGTATAACATATACTTCCGTTACTAGGTGTCGTCGATGAAGCTACACTTCCGGAACACCAAGTTTTTTTCAATGTTGTCCGTGCAAATCTTTCTGATATTGTATAGTTTGGCTTTGTTTAATCAATTTTTGAGTATAAAATATGTTTTGTCGATATATGTTTTTTATTTAAGATTTTAATTTGTTAATTAGTGTCATTCGTTATACCAAACATTAGTTCAGATAATACTACAGTATAAAAGTCCATTTATTCATTACACTTAGCACAATTTACCAAGTGTTGTTATTATCATTAGCAATATGTAGTTACCACACGGCTGTTGGAACACATGAAGTTGTATGTTTCAAACGAATAGGTCACCGAGTAAAATAAGAGTTTCGCCTAACACCGTTTTATTGTGAAATTGATTTCATGTCATACACTTTTGTTTTACGATTGGAAAGAAACAGACATTTTCTTTTCTTTCTATATGGAATTATTTCAGTTCGTGTATTTGTCTTTTTCAATCCCCACTTAGTCACAAAAAGTCACCATGGCAATAATTCAGGGAAATTAAAATACACTGTCAACGTAGCGCCATTTTAGATTTCATATCAGTTGAGAATATAACAGTTTGGTTTTGTGATGGTTAACAATGTGAATTCATATCCAAACGTTAATCCAAGGTAATATATGATCATATACATCAGTTGTTCTTATTCATTACATTATAAACAATAATCATTTGTGATTATACGAATATTGTGTATGTACAAACTGTGTATATACACGTGATCACTTTGTAATTATTCATACATATATCAATATTACACGGAATTGTGTGTTTTTGTGTGGTATATTAAGTGTATTATATCTACGAATGTTAGGATTTTGTACAGTATGTGGGAATGTAATATATGTTTTGTTTATTTAAGGGAGTTGGTTGTTTGAACAAATGAGAGCCGTCTTGCATGACAACATATTGTCAAGAAATATTGAACCTAGGATTTCAACTCTGACAATGATCTCTCTATTCTGCGCAACACTTAAGTTGTTCTAATATTTTGGTCACTTGAGTTGGTTTCTTTGAGCCGACAATATGCTGATAAAGTGTGTTCATATACCGTCATATTCCTGTTCTATTTTGTTTCTGTTTACATGGGAGTATGGGAGATGATATTACATTTATTTTCATGTTTTACTAGTAATCAATGTCATTTAGGTAAAACTTGAGCTGATCTCTAAATAAACAAAAATTGTCTCAGTGACGAGATAATTGAACCGGTGATATTTGAAACATTGTTTTGTCATCTGTAAGGTATACAAAGTGATATTAAGTACCAACAATAGATATCATTATTTAGAGCAGAAGAGTCGGATGTAGGTGCTGTTCATTATAAAATAACAATGTCTACATTTTTTATTTCTAATATTTTGGGGCTATTGTCTGATCTAATGTGAAGCAATTTTCTACCTTCGATTTTGAAAATTATGTGAATGAATTAAGAATGGAGAACATGTGCAAGGAAATGCTTATCATTATACATGTTGAGAAGCTGTTTTTACAATGTATACGACCAGATCTCTAGATACTTTAGTACTATATACAAGTGGAGAGGCTATTCTTTACAATGTGCATTACGAAATCTCTAAACATCATAGATCAGTACCATATACTCGCGGAGAGGCTATCTTTCTTCAGTGTGTATTACCATAGCACCACACACCATAGTTCAGTACCATATACTCGTGGAGGGACTATTTTTTTCAGTGTGTATTACCATAGCACCACACACCATAGTTCAGTACCATATACTCGTGGAGGGACTATTTTTTTCAGTGTGTATTACCATAGCACCACACACCATAGTTCAGTACCATATACTCGTGGAGGGACTATTTTTTCAGTGTGTATTACCATAGCACTACACACCATAGTTCAGTACCATATACTCGTGGAGGGACTATTTTTTCAGTGTGTATTACCATAGCACTACACACCATAGTTCAGTACCATATACTCGTGGAGGGACTATTTTTTTCAGTGTGTATTACCATAGCACTACACACCATAGTTCAGTACCATATACTCGTGGAGAGACTATTTTTTTCAGTGTGTATTACCATAGCACTACACACCATAGTTCAGTACCCCATAAAAAACCAATATGACAGCACGTGTAAATAGAGTTATCTATATGTTATCATTAATCACATTACCAGCGGCCATGACATTTCAAAAGAGCACGTTATGCAACTTTATGTAATTATGATACGTTTTGTTCTTACAATAAATAACGACAGTTTCCTTGGAGGTATTTTGGGTTTAATTTCCCGTTGTTGGTTTAACTTCACTGTATGATATCAATACACCTTTACCTTATATCTTACATGGTTTGTTAATGGAACATGTCATTCAGGTTCAATAATGTGTTTGATGTGTATCATACTTGACTCATATTACATTTTCCCAATATTTTATGGAAGATGTGTAGTAATTTGGTTTGAACACTCAAAGTTTTGGTGATCGTTATTTTGCCTGTTGGTTCTGTTGTTGTATATCTTGCTCTCATTTGAGAACGTGATATTACGTACTTGGATTGGCAAAGGTTTATATGGCGGGTGTCGATGAAGCGGAAGACGTTTACTCCTCCGGAAGACCTGGTCTTATTTTCCTTGTACCTTTTCAGGAGTCTCCGTTTAAATCTTTATTTTGTTCATATTTTGCCCTAGAATTATGGTATTCGAGTTTTGATTATGAATATGTTGATTTGTTGGTATTTTCGTGTTTTTTGGGGAGTTGTACCTTTGAGACATGGGTAAATTTAGAGAGCCATGACTGAGAAATTCATCGAGATCATATCAACTAGACGTGTTTGCTAGTTCTGAATTTGAGTTACCATATTGCTCCTTTGGTGTCGTATCATAGCTGTAACTTCTTAAAGTTGTGATCTAGCGGGGTACCTGTTCATCGTATGCGTGTGTTCATTACATTTTTACTTATACAAAAGACGTACAAGTAGCGCCTTGCAATACATTAATTAGATACAGTAAAGACCAATAATGAAGTTAACTGCATCACATAACTTTGGCGGTGACTAATATAGATCCGAATTTGTCGAATCAAATGTCAAAAAGTTAAAATAACGTTAAGTACATGTGAATATTCTGAACCGTGTCACTGGAAATGAAAAGTACGTTATAGTATGTTAAATGTGATATACACCTATATGTCGTATGTACAATATTCATAACATGGAATTACATAGAATTATTTAAACATTTGTACACCTGAAATGATACCAAAACGTCAGCAAAATTGTGACGTCACATAAGAGAAATTTTTGTGAATTTTGGATTTCGCGTCGATAATGTGAGAAAAGTTTCTCCTTGATTGTATGTTGCTTTCTGAGAGAAGTTCCTGTTGTATCCACATGGCGTCAAACATTTTACACACATTCCCAGAACAAGTTATTCCTTGCACAAACTAATTTGTAAAATTACGCCGTGTTAGACTTTACGCGACTCCGACTACATGTCCAAGTCCCGTTTGTATTGTTTAACAAGGGCGATACATCGCGGTTTATCGGTGCAATTTCGTTACTTAACCAAAATGTTATATACATCTTTGTTGCGACACCTCCATAGAATTTCTTAACAAAGATAAAATGCAAACTATTTGAGGTTTTTAAGGTCTTGGACCCTTTTCTAAATCTCCAGCACTCGACTATTTATAATCAGAAATAGCAAAAATAAAATACAAATTATTGAAGGTTTTTAAGGTCGATGCCCCTGTTCCCAACTTCCAACACTCGACTATTTATAATGAGAAATAGAATAGATAAAATATAAACTGCGTCTGATATTACCGGTAAGAGTGTCCTTAATATACTGACAATATTGGTTAACCAGGACTGTTATTATACCACAGAAGAGGTAATCATGGAGCTGACACTCTGGTTTTGAATTCCTGTTATAACTTTATCGTACAGACCGGCTTCAAACGTTTGATTTGTCGCGACCCTAACCATTATGAGCCCAAAATACTGACATTTCTTACAGCACTGAACAATAGGTCACGTTCGTCTTTTCCTCTTTTAGATGTTTATTTCTGAAAATAACGTCAATATCTTAGCTACTTGATAGTCTTG